GAGAGAGAGAGAGAGAGAGAGAGAGAGAGAGAGAGAGAGAGAGAGAGAGAGAGAGAGAGACAGCGAAGGGAGGAGGGCGCATGTCACTCACTCTCGCTCGGGCTAAGGACAATTAATCAATAAATGGGGAGGAAGATGGAAAGACCGACCGACTCATGTCCTCATGTCAGCAATCAACACCCGATGCCCTGCGGTCGTCCGCTCTTACTGAAACATTCACATCCATAGACTTCCATACCCGAGAAGGCATACCATACACGACCCCCACATTGGGGAACTTGCACAAATCACACAGGGGCAAAGCAACAATGGAGAAAAAGCTTCGTCTTAAAAATACAGAATTCTCACGACTGGCCTCTTCGGGCCCAGTCTCCACCCGGTCCGTCAAGATCACCGGCAACCATAGCCACAAGGCCCTGCCGGTCTCGGCGTGTGATCTCCACCACCGGTCTGTCCCTCCGACTGCCTCACCGCAAGTCCACCTTTAACTCCGCCATCCGCTGTCACTCCGCCCACCACGGGGCACGTCGAGCCTTTCTGGCGCCGGGCTTCAAGCACAGGCTGAGCAGCTTGCAGCCGGGATCCAAGAGAGTGAGAGGAGGGTTGGAGAATTTAGAGCGCTGAAGGCGGCTGGGAGGCTGCACAAAGCACGGGGTGTAGATGAGCAGGATAGAAGAAGGGCAGAAGTTCCCAGAGGAATCGAAGGAGGCGAGTGGAATGGCCTGCCTGATTGGGGTGGTCGTCCAAGTGGGGTGTGCTTTCTGCGGCAACCACATTGCCCCGACCATCCCACTCATACAACCAATCATTTGCAGGGAAAGGAGAAGGAGGGGATCGGACTTCGCTTCGAGGGAAGACAAAGAGACATGTAGGAGGGAGATGCACAGCAAGAAAGGAAGATGGCGCGGGGATGCAGAGTGGGAGAACGGGTTTACGCAGCGCCTATGTGACCGTTCGAACACATTGAACACACATTCACGTTCGAACACGTGTGACGCCCAACCTCACGCCCAGCGTGACTTCCTGATCAGAGTGGGACCCAAAAGTGCGAAAAGGGGTGTGTCAAGGATTTTAGGAAAGTGGGGGTGGAGTCCCAGGTCGGAACTGAGATCTCCTGTGGCAAGTCCCAGGGGTATAAGCGCAAGAGGGTGTGCGTAGGTTGTATTTGGCGCTCTTAATTTTCATAGGATGGAGGGTAGACCACCTCTCGCGGCTTGTGCACAAAAGGGAAGCCGCTGATGCCGTGCCACATAAGGCAGATGGTCATGCGCAATGCATCTCAGACCGAAGATAAGGGGCACTTTTCCACGATCACAGTACCGACAGATCTAAACACTCTTGCATTCTCGAACAAAATCCCGATAACATTGCCGCTGCCAACGAGCTCACATTTCAAGCCTAAAAGAAATGGGAGTCACCATCTTCTCCGGTTTCGCCTTCGTGGCTGGTCGCGCGGTTTGACCAGTTGCCAGCGCCGCTCGGCTTCGATGCGGGTTCGCCAAGCGAATTCCGAGGCTCGATAGGCCTGGTGCCGCCGACACTTTTCGCACGGTATGCGGGGCCAATAGCGGGCTATAGAATTCCACGGCACCACCGTGAGTTGCTGATATGGAAGGAGGAGGTGGAAGGGAGGGAAACTCGTAGTAATAACGACGAAACCAGGGGATATGCAATATTGCGTGTTATAAGTATCTGCGTAATCGGGACCCCTAAGATCGTTAGTTATGGTAAAGTGAAAGTCCCTTGCGCACAATCGATCGTTTTCTGTCAGACAGGGGAATTGCGGATTTCTTAAGTTCCTCCGCTGTCTGAGTTGTTCACCTTCCCAGTATTCGTTGTATTCCAGATCCCTCAGACTCTCTTGATCGGACATCCAAGAGGGAAATTTCTCAGCCATATCCGTTTAGAATGTTCGGTCCCCTGCGTCCTCATATGGGGTTCCAGGCTGCCTCATGCAGGCGAGCGCGTACGTAGCGATTCGACCTTTTTCCATATCACGACCGTACGCGAGCATGCACATGGGTCGAGTTTCTGGCCCGATGGGAGGAGGGGGGGTGGGGGGTAGTTTAGTGTATCGATCGCGTTGGGCATACATGCAAATATCCTACTCGTGCTACGCTGGGTGAGGTCTAGTCGTTACATGCCATCCATATGACAAAAATGAGGAAAGAAGAGAAAGGATCATCAACTTCTTGTAGCACTCTTGCCTCTTGGCGATCGAAAGTTAGCGACTAAACCAAAACATCCATAATCGAGTGTTTTCAATCATATCTGAACGTATAGATCACGCCAGTGAGCCGTAGACAAAGACCAAACGGGCATCGCAAAACAAGATTGGAAATCCAAAAAGATCGTTAATAAAAGGGAATTCACATTCCTTCCATGCATACATACAAAATACAAACGCCAAGGAAAATCCGAGACGATTTACAAGAGATGTCCAAAAAGAAGGCCGCGATAAAATTGACCATATCGGAATCCAAAATTATACAGATGAACAGAAGAAAAGAAATGGACAACGAAAAGAACCTCATCCCACACCCACGAATGCTCTCTCTCTCTCTCTTCCTCCGTGGTCCCGATGCGGGCAGTCCGTTGCCTCGCATCAACACAGAGTTGTTACCCCGCTTGGTTCGAGGATGCAAGCCAGGTTCGCCTGTGCGCCACAATCCGTCGCGGCCCCGCACGTCAACCCCGCATACCCGACACCAGCACGTTGGATCGTCCAACTCCTGCACTCACTCACCTTCCAAACTTGCTCGTTAACCGACCCTCACTGATCGCGCTAACCTCGAAATTCTTAGAGAGTCGATTAATCGCACTTGCAGAATTTTTAGCATGCATGCCTGCGCGAAAGGTACAGGATTAAGCCCAGGTGGACAAGAGGAGAAAAAAGGAAGTGCCTACGTCTGCATGGCCAGGCCGCGGCGTGGGGGTGGTAACCGCACTCAACGCACCGATCTGGTCATTCAGGCGTTCCGGCTAATTAGAACAGAGTAATAGAGTATGCGAGGTGAGGAAGAAGAAAAAAGCGGGCAAACAAGAGGAAACCAAGAAAGAAGAAAGATGTAGTTACAATCACGGCTGCCAAAATCACAGTTGCACAAGATTAAGGGCGCGATCCAGTCGGAGCCCAGTTCCCAGCGCAGCAAGATGCGCGCAAGTGCGGCGCAATAAAATTAAATGTTCCTAAATTCTTGGCCAAAGTTCTTATTGCAAAAGGAAATTCCGAAAAAGAGAAAAACCATTCTGCGAGCCCATGGAGGCTTGACATCAGTTGAAAATTCAAAAATGATATTCCCGCGCAATGATCACGCCAAAAATCCCCAATGCTCAGAGCAGAACAAGAAAGAAGCTATGGTACAGTTATTTCTTGCGCCCGTCATGGCACAACTACCCAACCGTTGGCACGGGATTTTCCCGACACCGATCCGACAACTTCCAGCAGAAAACGAAAAGAAACAAGGACATTCAGTTCTCGACAGTTCACTCACTTCATCCGACAGGACGACATCACCTTCTTTACGGTGAATGCTACGGATCTCTTGCACTATGATCCACCCTGTCCCGACGCCGAGCTCATCTCTCAGATCCTCCTTCTATCTCCATGGCTCTCATCTCTACTCCCGTCCCTCCGCCGCCCGTCGAGTCCACCTTGTCGTCGCGCGCGGACGCAGACGCTGAGGAACTCGCATGCTATACGACCGACCTGGAGCCCGCAGTTTGTGACCTCATTCGAGAGTACCACGAAGTTTTCCCATCGTCGTTCTCGTACGCCGACA